AAGTTTGGGGACCAAAGTGTAAGATCCAATAGTTGATTCGGAGCACAAAACGAGAATTGAAGATATATAGGATCAATTAGATGCAATTGGAGGTCAAAGAAAATACAAAATTTGGGGACTAAAGTGTAACATCCAATAGTTGATTCAGAGCACAAAATGAGAATTGAAGATTTATATGATCAAATGGATGTAATTGGAGGTCAAATGAGTGAAATATAGTGGAAGTATTTTCACAAATCAATTTCCAGGCGATTAAGTTATTCTTCGAATTTTTAGCCTTAACTTGAGACCCATTTTTCGGATAGCAAACGTTCGAATTGGAAAATTTGTATTTCCAGAAGAATTGTAGCCCTTTGAATTATCTTTCCAACGGGTTTTGAATCAGCTCAATCGGGTACCTATGGAGAAAGTTATCATTACAATACCGAACACTGTTTAGAGACAAACCTGCACGCGCGCAAACAAATTCTCTCGCGCGCGCAAGGCATGGATTTTACTTACCGAACCTAAAACCAATGAACAGAGCGCGTGCGCAAGGAAATATACGGCGCGCGCGCACAAGCATTTTTCACAGACGAATCTTTAGTTTCCTTTCGCGATTCAAACTCTTTTGGAAACCAAATTAAATGCGATTTTAACCTATTTTCTGGCTCTTATAAATAGAGAACACATAGGAAGCTCTATCTTGCCTCTTCATACACCATAGTTTCATCAAATTCATCAAGAACAAGAGGTCCATTGCTATATTTTGAGAAAGGAGATCAAGCCATAACAAGGAATTGAAAGTCAATTACACGAAGATTTGGAAGAATTCAACCTTGGGCGTGAAGATCAACATCTTTTGATTTATTTCATGATCCGAGTGATATTTTTCTATTATTCCTCTTGTAATTTATATATTAACATGTTAGGCTAGATCAATTTTTGTATTGGATGAAGATGAACCCCATTGTTTATTTGTTTTAATTCAAGACTAATAGTTTAGTTTATTTCTTGCATTTCTTAATTAATTTTGCATACATATTGCATTATTTAATTGATTGGCCACCAATTAGATAATTAGTTGCTTATTGTAGTGTTTGGAGACTCATGATAAGTTTAGAACGCGGTAAAATTAACATATGTGCAATAGATGTTAGGAATAACATTTATCACATGTACAATTATACAGATAATCTAAACTTTAATACATTCTAATCATTCGAATTCGGGCTACGAATAGATTCGGGTCATGGTTATGATAGATTTAATTTGTTTTGGGAGAATTATATATCATAGCTTTATCGATTGTCATGAACGCATAAACGGAACTAGATTACAAATCAAGAATTGAAATAAATAGCAATAGGCGGATTTAAGATTCAACACAATCATTATTAAATTGATAAAAACCACATTTTTACCGCTTTCTTAGATTAATTGAACATAAAATAAAATAAAAATTTATTTTGTTTACATAATTCGAATTCTATAAAAATTTAGTAAACTTGAATTGAATTTATTCCCCGCGGGACGATACTTTCAACTCATCAATTCTATTACTTGTCAACGATCCCATACGCTTGCAGATTTTGCACGAACAGTTAAGAACACAGAGCGCAAGTAATTTTTTTAAGAAGAAAACTATGAAAATCAATAAATCCATAACCGTTTAGTTTATATATATATAGGAATCACAGATTTAACAGGACTAGAAAGTGAAATTCAATCAGTTGTACTGATTTGACATAAAGCTAAGTTATATTTTAGTAGCAAAACATTTATACCTGAAAATAGAAGACAGGCATACTGTCAGAATTAATGTTCAACTTGTCAACCAACTCTTAATGTTGTCTACCAATTTGGAATACCATTAGTTACAAGAAGTTGCAGTCAAGATTGATCACATTAAGGCACAACGGGACGACCAACGATTCCAATTCAGATAGGAACAGTTCAGTGAAGATGAAAAATGGGCGAAAAGAGCAGAGTGAGAGCTAGAAATGAGACAAACCCAAGAACCAGTATATCAGGAGCTCACACAGGCTTCTAATGAGGTGGAAATCGCCATCATCTTTCTTTCCTCCAGTTAACAACCAAAAAAAAATTGATGCAAAATTGGGAAAAGGCTGACAAAAATAAGAAAACAAGAAAATTAGTGAAGTAGGATATGACACCTGGGCTATAAATGATTGCAGGTTCAACAGTTTTTAATAGTTTTGAGTGCTTTGGGGAGACAGACGTTATTTTTATATATTTAACAGGAAACAGCAAGTCAGAGGTTTTGTGAATTTGTAAGGTTTGATGCAGGTGATAAAAGGCTAGCAGATTTGGAGGATGATTTCTCAGGNTGTTGTCTTACGATCTATATTTAAGATGAAACAGCAAGTCATAGGTTTTGTTAATTTGTAAGGTTTGATGCAGGTGATAAAAGGGTAGCAGATTTGGATGATGATTTCTCAGGTATTAATTCAGTTCTGGGATAGTCTCATAAGCTTCAGATATTCTGTAACTCAGAACATTTCTAGAGTAAGTCATAGTTTGGATCATCTTTTGGTAACTCTAGATGATATAGGATCAAATTGGTAAAACTTCCATTTGGAATCTATATGAACTCATGCAATGCACAGCCACAATGCTACCCGAGCCTAGGAGTGATGCTAGTTACCGTTCTTTTCTTTCTCCAATTCTATAGCAATAATACCATCCACCCACCCAACCACTTTTTCCACCCTGCATCCCCCAATTCAGCCTCTAAAACTGAGGAAGATCAGTCCTTACAAAGTAGCGATCTCCATAATTTTCCTACATCAGAAATGTATTTCTAACAATGTGCAGGGGATGGGCTAAAGGCGGAGATTTGATCTCACTGAATCTTTTCGATGATTGTGGCGAGACTGATTGTACAGATGGAAATAAAGGAATCATGTTGCCAACTCTAACTTTATAGGGAATAAGATCTAGTTTTTGGTTGTCAGCTTTGTTGGTCAGACGGCGGACCAATGGAGAAAGAGGATGCAGAAGAAAGCATTTTGTTGATATCAACAGCAATGATAAGTGTGAGAAGGTCAACCGGAAAACACTGGTGGCCAACCTTTGCAATTAGTAGTATAAATTGGCAATCGCAAATTGAGGAAACTAAGAGGTTAGGTGAGCACTAATAGATGAAAGCATTATATATTTATATCTGAGTAAAATAACAGGGGTTCACAGATCGTCTTATGATGCTAGTTATGGCGATCTAGCAAGCAAAAATGAACAAGAATGCATTGTTTTCTTTCTAGTCCTCAGTAATGCCTTGAAACTAAAGTGAAAAAATCAATAGTGGAATGGAAGGACCGAATTTTGGTCCTCGTGGTTCATTTGAGGATCAGAAGATGAGGGGGCTAAGACACAAGTTCTTGATAGTCAAGAAAGTCGGAAGAGTTAAGTGAGAAAAAAGTTCTGTGGAATTATTGCCTTATCAAGAAGACCTTGCAATCCAATTTAAACTTTTAATAAACAATAAATTGTTTCCCAAGGGACTGGAACTAGATTCTTTTTTTTTCTCACAGTTTACTTTTCTTTGCTGTATAAACAGAGAAACTTAGCATATGCAATTTTGCTTATACCCTTACCCAACAAAGAAGCGCAAGGCTGGTTGCTCCTGATCCAAGTTCAATAGCGCACCTTCATTTTCTTTTAGAATTGACCCTAAGATCTCTCTCAAAAGCTCTGGTAGCTGTGCAAACAGCCAGAGTACTCCAAGATACTTGAGAATACCTCTAAGGACTTTTTTAAGTGCCACAACAGGGACCCATCCGCCACCATAACCTCCATCATCCCCAAGTCCAATTATTGCAGTATTTAACTCCCCTCTAACATGGGCAGGGACTCCTGAGCCAGGTGATCTCCGTAATGGGTTCACCAGAGCTATATTCGTAGGTCCTGGAAGAGCATTTGCTATGCGGTTAAGTCCAGACATTGCATTTCCAGGACGAGAGATTGCAGCAGCAGAATTTGAGAGGTTGGTTCTATTTCCATTGGCAGCTGAGAGCTGTGGACCCGAGCTTGGATTGGGATTACTTAAATTTGTGAGTCCAAGTGCTTGTTGAGCTCCTGGAAAATTAGAATCTATGCCATTCAGTTCCTGAGCAACATGCTCCATAATAAAAGGTCGAAATTGTGGACATGGCAGTGATCCTCCAACTGATGGACCCCCTCTCGGCGGGGTTGCTGGTTGCAACCAGACTTGATCTCCAGCATAACACCGCATGTCTACAGCAAATTTTTTGCGGTATATGATTCGAATCCAGTATGGACCACGAAGTACTACAGAAACATCAATAGGCAACAGAGAACTTGGAACAATGCCAGGACCACCTCTCCCAGCAGCAGCAGCTGCTGCTGCTGCTGCCAACATTGAAGCAGTATGATGGTTGTGACTCCCAAGAAGACCAGAAGGGGTAGGTGCACCAGGATTACCTGCAGAACCAGCGGAAGCTTGACTTGTGTTTGTGTTAGAATTGCTAAGCAGATGACCCTGAGATGGCATGTACCCACTCTGCTTCAAAGTAGAAGAAAAGGAAGCTGCAACGGCAGGAACTCCAGAAACAGGAGCAGCTCGAGCAGGCCGTGTAGCTGCAGCAAGAGCATGCAAGGGTCCAGCAGTGAGTCGAATGCAATCCAAAAGGGATGCAACTTCAGCTCCATTGATAAAATCTTCCAGAAACTGCAGAACAAGAGTAAAGCCATAAACGCATGAATTTATTAAGAGAAACTAAGAACAAGGAGAAAACTAATTTAATCAGTATAGTAACCGAGGAAACTTTAAACAAGAAGCAAACACTGGGAAAATTTTGCAACGAAGTTAAAAGATTATCCATCATGCGTGGTTTAAGGACCTGTACTTCATGGTATGACCGTATGAGCACGTTTGGTGTGTTGCACTGGACAGGGTAAGGAATAATATAATCCTATCAGGTGTTTGGTGCGAATAATACATGGATTAAAATTAATCGGGAGAACTCATCCTCCTTTAGTTGACAAGATTAAAACAATACACTTCGTAGATGGATCTTCACTGGATACGCGTGTCATGAATTATCAAGGAAAAAATTTGATGAATTGAAATAAGTAAATTTACTTATAATTAAAAAATTTATTTGAGTAAATTAGTTTTAAAATAAATAATTTTTATACTAATTAAACTCAGAAATAAATTACTTATTTTGATAGTAAGAGTAACTTTAAAAATAATTTATTTTTTCATCAACAGTAAAAGAAAATAAGCTATCCAAACATTTTGTCTACAAAATGTAAATTTACATAGAAGTTAATCTACTCATAACTAAATATGTAAGTTCTAAAATAAATAACTTTTTTGTTAATCAAAGTTAAATGTAATATACTTATTCTGACACAACATAAGAATCACTTTATTAAAGAGAAAAGGTATTTTTTTTACCTAAAATAAGAGAGAGTAATTTATCTAAAACATAATTGTAAAAAAAAAAAAAAGAAGGTAATCTTAGAAAAAAATAATGTACTTTTTTTAATACATTGAAGCACCAAACACCATATCCATACAATACATCCTAATCCACCTCAACACATTCCCCCCATTTCTATCCTCCCTAGTCCTATTGTTCCTAATCCTATCCCCCTAATCCAACGCAGTGTGCCAACCACACCCTATATATTTTAAGTAGAAATTTTTCGCTTCCATAAATGACATAGCTCCTGTTTGGTACGGATTAAAATCAGATTTTTAGTAGATTTTGATAAAAGTTGATGAAATGTGTGGTTGAAAGTTGTAAGACCCATGAAATGTATGTTTAAAATTAATTATTGACTTTAACTTAAATTAAAATCTGAATTTTAATTTCCACCAAACAGGGGAATAGAAACATGGCAAATGGAAAATATTTGAGCTAAATGCCTACATTTCATCATAGAAATCATATATAGACATTCGTCAATTCTACAACCGACAACCCTCCCCCGGGAAAAACAAAAAAGATAAGGAAACCCAATAAATCGTAAGGAACACAGATTTGGTGCATATTACACAGGATAATTTAGAAACAAAGAGAAAGGCAAATTTCACCGAGTAACATAGAAATTGTGTTTAAAAAAAAAAGAATTAAAGAAAACAAATGTATCCTCAATTAGGCAACATGCATCATGCTTGGAAAATCACTTGAGTTAGGTACTCACACCCATTGGATACTAATACTTAAACAAAACCCATCCACTACCAATACACCTAACATAAAAAGAAGATGGGGAAAATAGCTTTTATGTTCTTTCAGGAGAAAGAAAACCAAGAGACATCAATCCAGCTGAGTAACTAAAGCGAATATTCTAGATGCTTCATAGATACATCTTACTACAAGAGAAAAATGAGAGAAGCACATGCTTTCTTTGTCCCAGCAGGGGATTAAGGAAGATGAAAAATCAAATCCTAAAGTGGAAACCTCCTCACTCAATCTCCCAGTAAAAGGACACTCAAAGAAGGAAATATGCCTCGACCATATTGATTTATCACTTATTATGTCAACCTTATATGCTAAGTAGGTTTCACCTTGTTCCCAACAGGTTTAAAGTTTTATCACATTCCTGCATTATCGTTTCAAAGTGAATTTTGGGACCTTGGTAAGGAAATACCAACACACTCAATAAACCAAGCTGCCAAATACAATACTCCTAGACAAATTTAGCTGGTTCTTTCTCATTTCTTTTTCCTTTTTTTAGATAGTAAGATTCCTTAATTAGGAGTCAAGGGAACAGTACCCAAATATAAGAGTACTCCAGGAACAAAAACACAAAGTGCTTGTTTCGGATAGTTTAAAAAGTTGAGGTCAAAGTTAACAATTAATTTTAGCCACGCATTTCTTGGGACCCACAACTTTTATCAAGTTTTCAACACGTTTCATCAACTTTTATCAAAATATGCTAAACATTTTTATCAAACAACCCCATAGTCACCAAATCTAAGTCCCACTAATATTTCCCCATCTGATTCCTATACACATGCTCAGCAAAAATAAAATCCTACATAATAACTGCTATCCATAACTTATCACCACAAATCTTGCATGCTGCTTTCAAAATTAGATTACATCAACAACCCTTTCAATATTAACTTTACAGTTGCTTAATTTATTTTCATTTGAGCTAATTACCATCTATTATGTGCAGAAAAAATTGTGCACGAGAATAGAAGTGAAATCTATTTTCTGTCAAGCACTAGTCAAAGTTTACTTGGGAATATAACATATCTTTGTGTCACATATCATGACATACACTTGATGATCTATACGTTGCACAAGAACAGAGAAACCAAATGGAACACCAAGTAAGGAATACAGGGGTAGGGGAGAAGTTCTATATTTTAGGCACACAAATTAAAAAGAGACCTTTGTATGAGGCCAAAGCTGATCCGGAGAAACGTGCATTGTACAACCCTCTTTGCCAGCTTCCCATTCGATAACAAAGCGAGCAAGTGCCCCTGAACCAAAGCTAAACCACAAACTCATTAATCCAACTGCTTCGATTCTAAATACCCTTCTCATCTGTTCTGAAAACTTTTCAGGTGTCTCGTTAACAGATTTGGCACCAGCAGAAGGCCTGCTGTCTGGGTTTACATTGCTCTCTTCCAATCTCTCATCAGTCCTGGCGCCAAGTATTTTTCTCATTCCAAGGGCAAACATTCTAGCATTTGAAAGCCTCTGAATATCAGCCACTAACTTCTTAATACTATCAGCCTCCACTTGATTGTAACTCAACACAACACCTTCTGAATCATAACGAATATGGGAATCCACATCAGATGTATTAGCAATCCTAACACCAGAACCCCAAGCAGTATTATTGCTACCCTTTTGAAGCTCCCACAAGTCTTTAAAGTGTGGATCAATGATTTTGACATCCCAATACATACTTCCAGGTCTCCCCAACCGCAAGCATATGTATGGCCATGTATCACCACTGGAAAAAGGAAGCCGAAACCATAAGTTTGAGGACGCACTTCTCAGACCCACCTCTTCAACATATGGAATGTCGAGTGCATCCATCTGACTAGTGAGTCGAGCATGTTTGATACATAGCGAGCAATGCCTGACTACATGAAGCAGAACAGACACATATATACTAGAGGGTGCATTGCCTTTATTTGCTTCAGCTATCAGATTTCCATAACTATAGTTTTTAGTATTACAAGAAGTTTCAGATGAAATGAGCATCTGCGATGGAGGCAACTGAGCATGAGCAGGTTCCATGATTTTCCTTCTCTTGTTAGCTCCTTCATTGACTTCCAAATGATTGAGCGAGGGAAGAAATTTTACTACATCTGAGAATGCACGTTTTCGTGGCGTCCTATCGTATCTAGGAGTAGCATCTTGCTTTGAGTTCACAAGATTTGCAGAATCAAGTGCTTGAGCTGAAAAAAGATAGCAATAACAATATAAGCATTCCGAAAAAATTGTAGACAACAACTGAAAAATAAGACCACTTCACAAATAGTAAAGTATAAGTGAGCATTTTACAATTGATTTAAAAAACTCAGGAAAGTGCAAATAATAAAGATGGTATCTTACATACGGGAGTAGCAACCAGAGAGCTAGATTCCGAAACTCTAAAACTACCAGGTACAGACCCAGTAGGCACGCTTCTAGGCTCATTGGGTTTCAAGCTTACTAAAGTAGCTCGAGTAACAGTTTGATGAGGTGTAGTCAAAAGTTGAGCAGAGGTAATTCCAGATACATTCAGCTGTTCCCCATCCATTATGCCATAAGAACTTAAGCCACCAGAATGTAGAGATCTGACAGAAGTCAAATCCTGATCAGACTTAGACGTCACCAAGTTCTTCATGGATTGGCTTCTCCCTGGAGCTGTAATTAAGGAATTCGTGGAACCAGACTGCACTAAGTCCTTAGATTTGCTTCCAGTGTCTAGCAGTATATGTGCACCTTCCCAACTAGGGGAAGATTTTCCAGTTTTTACATTATGAAGGTTCGTAGGACCCAAGCCAAAATGAGATGTGAAAGATGTGCCAAAATTTGAAGAGGAACCATGGCCAGAAAATGAATGGGCATTTGACCCCTTCTCAGGCTCAAATACCTCATCAACAATGGAGGAAAAACTTAATGGCAAATTAGATCGAAGCGTGAAATTTTCAATGCTGGAGTCAAAGGGATCATGCTCAGAAATTCGGCTACCATCAACATCATTAAGAATAGTAAGGATCTTTCGACGGTCAAGAAGACTCAAATTGAGTTCGTCTTCACACATATGCATCTGACCAATGTCAACATTATTTACTCGAATGACATTATTCATGTTGTCAAAAGATTGACCTTTCCCTGTGGAATTTGCCTGAGCTTCTATTAATCTAAGAAGCGGTTTGAATTCCTTGTCGAGTTGCATCAGCAAAAAGTAAGAGCTCCCACATTCTGGGAATCCCAAGATTAATGAATTTGAACCATCTGTAATGTTCTTTGGAACCTTCACAGGCATAAAACCGTGTTCAAATACCTGAAGAACAATTGAAGATACCTAATTAATTAATTGACAAAATTTAAATATTCTGTCCAAACACTATCATTAGGGGGTTTCTATTATCTATGGTAGTGGAGAGCTGGGAAGCACGGACATGCTGTCGGCATCCATGTATCGATGTCCGACACATATTGGACATCGGTATATCTCCGACACGTCACTGACGTGTGTCCCGGTTCCTTGCGGCGTGTCAGGAGACAGAGATGCAGATGGCTGGAAGAAAAGTAAGAAAAACAAATGGGTGGAAGAAATGCAGACGGTGACTGGTGACTGAGAAGAAGAAGACTGAAGAAGAAAGAAAAGAAGGAAATTAAGAGAATTGACTAGAAGAAAAGAAGTGAAAAGTCCGTAGATGTAAACCAACGTACTTTCCAATTCAAATTATTGTGCCCAATAACATTAAATGCACCGTAAAATTTCTTTTTGTAGTATATATTTAATTTACTTTTTTTCTAGCTTTATTATTGAACAAGACAACCCATAATATGTGTGTGTGTGATGCAATAAGTATAAAAAAATTATTACTTTATACCATCAAATTAAAATAAGTTAAAAATTTATATTTTAATCAACATGTCGGCGAGGTATCGTGTCGGAACTTTTTCAAAAAATCACGTGTCGCCTAAAATGGAGCACCAGATACGCATCAAACTGGCAAAACCATTGATGTGTTCAGTTGACATCAACAGAGTTCTTCTAATAGCGTTCACATTTATCTTTATAAGATTAGCACCATAATGATGCAGGAATCATAAGCAAATAAATTAGGCACCTCAAGTAGAGTGTCAACCGAAATCACAGACAAGATTTTAAACAACAAAAGTACAAAACTTCAACATTTTCAGCAAGTCATTCAAGTTCCAGACTGCAATTCCAACTCAATAAAAAAAAGAAACCTGGAGTGCAGAACATACCTCAAGGCCTAAGAACCTGCCAATGCAAGCAAACAGGTGCAAAATAGCACTGCTCCGCAAGTTAATGAAAGTTTTTGATGCAGTCATACTTCCCTGGTTCAAAGCTTCTTCACATTCTAGCAGCGCTGACGAGGGTATAATATTTTTGGATGAATGGAGGAGGAACCTACCATTCCTGCAAGATAGAGGAAGAAACTGAGGCTTTAGTTTAGGAAATAGAAACCCCTCTAGGACCAAACAAATTTAAGAAAGTGACAGCTGTCATTTGACTAATCAAGTGAATATTCACTTAATATAGCCCATGTTTGACCCACATTCTTCGCTTAATATGGCCCCTGTTTGACCCGCATTTTTTCAAAATACATTCTTTCAAAACTCATTTTCAACTACACATTCTTCTATAAAATAATATTTCACATCACATCAATAACTTTTTCTTACTTTTTAACTAAATATTTCCCATTATATCACTATTTAAAATACATTATTTCCTCAATAATATCCATCAAATACCCCCATATTATATTACGCACCATAATTGAACCTAAGGAACCATGGTTATCTTGTGTAGAGATCTATGTGGTTTATTATGTCTTTTGTAACTTAATTGGACCCAAGACAGGTTGCCTTGCATGTAGATTGCGGGGTTTATTACGGGCATAACAGTCTTGCTCTAACCAAGGTCTTGACGAAGACCATTGCCATTCATTGTGCATTCATGGAAACGTGTGTGTAAAACTTTAGAATTTATCGACTTGATCCGATAAAATGAACGTCCTAATTTTGTAATTTCTATCAGAACACGTCATTTGGATGGGTAATATCATTGGATTGCTAGACTTGATCTATAAATATGATCTTCATCCGATGGGGATATTATAAGATCAAATAACACGGTACCCTATAGCATCATGGATCATAAAAATTTTGATTCATCACTATTTGCTGGTCACAGTCTACAGTTTATAGGTGTAACGAGAGATTCAAACATATATCAATAAGTTTCATCCAATGTGGTAATTTATAATGAAAGGATAGGATTAAAGGGTAACCTATAGCACAATGGTTCATAAAAATTTCAGTTCATCATATTTACGTGGCCATAGCATACATTCTAGTTGTCACAGTGTCCAGTGACCTTAAGCAACGCAAAGGAATATTTGGAAATTATTCTCAGAAAAGGGCATGAGAAAATATTTCTTCATGATGCCAACAACTAGAACAATCAATTAAGTTGAAGAACCAGCAAAGAAACGTCTCACAAACAGCTAGAAGATTGAAGTAATATTTCCTTGAGAGCAAGAATATTATAACAGTATCTCCCAATACCTAGAATAACAAAACTGTCAACTTCTCTTTCTCCTAAATAGGAAACAATCTTCTCCATACCATTTTTCTCAATTGCTTACCTCAATTATTTAGATGGACGAACTACAAGCGTCCACATATCAATGGAATCTTCGAGGCTCCTTTATCATATTTCAGATCTTTCTTTCTCAATTTCCATCCTAAATAGTTTTGGAATGTCCAGAAAAGTTTTTGAAATTGAACTAAGGAGTGCCTAACGGAATTGAGACACCCAAAGTCGGTGAGTTTTGACATATCGAGTGGATTTCATGACTAACCTCAGTTCCAGGAGTTTCATACACATTAAGTAGACTTTCAAAGTCTAAACATCGGCATTCTTTCCAAAAAAAACTCACAAAGTAGGATTCCTTATTAAATTAGGACTTTCCAAACTTAGGCATCCAAGGCTAGGGTAAGACGAGAGAAGAATTTTAGTTAACAAGGAACAAATTAGACTCGGTTCTTTCTCGGAGTAGGCCCTCATAACTTCAGCAACCTAATTCTCCCAAATATATAGCCTAAGATTTTTATTGACTCTTCACCCCACTCAAAGGAAGCATGGTCAGATATTCGAACCTAGGACTGAAAAGCAACCAAGCTATTGGAATTTCAAGTTTTCAACAAGAGGTCGCGCAATAAAAGTACATTTGAGATACTTTATGGCTAAGAAGCCGAGCCTTGACGAATTATAGCTCATTAATTTATCAAGCTCAGCCCTGGAAGCTAATTAGTAAGATAATGCATGAAAAGATGCCAAATCTACTCTAGCTTGACTCAGGGTCAACTTGATTAAAATTCGATTGAGATTCATTCCTTTAAAACAATAATCCAAGCTTGAACTC